TGGAACTTGAAAGCAAGCCATTTGTCCCTGCGTCTAGGAAAGGTTGCATACAGACCTGTTCCACAGCCTGTCGAGTCAAATTGCTCCCAACCGTCTATTAGCAAAGGACCCTCTTTACCTCACCTTTTCTTCAGCTTGAGGTTGTAACAATTTCTCTAAAAGGCTGTGCATGTACTTGGGTCTCAGCATCTCCCATACTGAAATACAAATGCAGCCCAATGGTCTGGCAAGGTGTCTCTGCCCAACCTTCCTGCAATTCTGTACCTGCCAGATCACAGGGCTGGCAAAGCCAGCCAGAAAACTCTTCTGAACACCATGTCTCATCCCCATAACCCAAAAGGAGGAAGAAAAAGGCATTTTGGAGATAACAGATGTAGCTGTCTGCCAATTAAATATATAATTTCACTATAGACCAGTGGCAAGGTTAATATATACACTGATGAGATAGGAAATACTAGTTATTTATTCTTTCAGGGAGTACAATACTCATCCACATCTCAAACTAGAAGCATGTGCTCTCTGGGACAAACATCTGAGAGAAGTTCTGGAAAGGCAAAGGATAAGAGATCCAGAAAGATTTAGAGAAAATGAGAGCCAAAATTAAAACTGAAAGGATTAAAAGATACCAAAGTGGGAAAGAAAGAGGAAGGATGGACTGCAGTGAGACAAATCATAGGGAACCTCATCAACCCAGGTAATACAGCAGAGCTCAGAGGAAAGTCAAGAAGGGGGAAGAGATCATGATTCTTCTTGCTATCACTCAGGATACAGTAAGGTGCATATCCAAATAAAAACACAGACAGAAATAGAACATAAAGCAAAACAAAAAGCAAGGAAGAAAAGGTGGACTGTAGAGAACTGATCAGGAAGAGAAGGCAGGCAAGGCAGAACAAAAGACAGCAGCAATAATGAAAAAGAACAAAAGGACTACAAAAGGAGGGGGAAGAAAGGAGGAGAAACAGAAGAGAGTGAATTTTTTTTTCTATAAAGTGTCACCAGTTACTTAGCAAAGAATTGGAAGAATTAAACAATGCAAGGGACTTCTCTGAAGAGTTCAGCATCTCAAAAGATTAACCCCAAAGAGAGGAGTGTATTCACAATCAAATGGAGCCAGTGAATTGTGCAATTGCCTTACTATCTTGTTTGTGAAGATATTCTGTAATATTAGCCATTTAAACGCTCTGCTGAGAATCTGGGACTTATAGGTGGTCTATTATAATATTCCCCTTTAGTCTAGTTTTACCATTTGAAAACGGCCCATGTGCATGTTACTGATGTTTGGGGTTACACGTCTTCTTAGAATCATAGAATAGAATCATAGAATCGATTGGGTTGGAAAAGACCTCTGAGATCATCGAGTCCAACCCTTGGTCCAAATCCAGTCCATTTACTAGATCATGGCACTCAGTGCCACGTCCAATCTGCATTTAAAAATCTCCAGGGATGGTGAATCCACCACCTCTCTGGGCAGCCCATTCCAATGCCTGATTACTCTCTCTGTAAAGAATTTTCTCCTGATATCCAACTTAAATTTCCTCTGGCGGAGCTTAAGCCCGTGCCCCCTTGTCCTATTGCTGAGTGCCTGAGAGAAGAGACCAACCCCCACCTGGCTAGAACTTCCCTTCAGGTAGTTATAGACGGTGATGAGGTCACCTCTGAGCCTCCTCTTCTCCAGGCTAAACAACCCCAGCTCCCTCAGCCTCTCCCCATAGGACTTATGCTCCAGTCCCTTCACCAGCCTTGTTGCTCTTCTCTGGACCCGCTCCAGCACCTCAATATCCTTTCTGAACTGAGGGGCCCAGAACTTCTTCTGCACAGTCTATTCTTAATCCATAACAAGAATATCTCAAAAGCCACATGGATATAAGCCAGCTGTTTTTCTGTATGAGCTGTCCCTGTTAAAAATATCTGTTTCACAGTTTCAGAAAGATTTCCTTTTATAAACTGTTTTAATCAATAAGCAGTGTGAATTAATACTTCTTTTTTAAAGCAAAAGCGAATAAGCCAATTCATGCGCTTTGATCTGCAAGAGCAGACACTGTCAGTAAGAACTAAATATAAGTATCAAAAGCTGGTTAAAATTAGCAACAAATAACATAGAAATATAAGACATGCTAAGAAAGTTATTTGGAACGCCTGGCCTTCCTGGTGATTAATATATTCATTATGCCATTAAAAGTATGTGCAAAAAAGGCATATTATTTAAATAGTGCCATGTACTGCTGTGTCTTATTGCTGCTCAACAGGGCTTTATGTCTACTGTATTGCAAGTAATCATTGTAAAGATGCAAATTCTACAGAAACTCAGAAATCAAGTCTGATCAATAAAGCTGAAGTTTGTGTAATGCCTTCAGGTGTTGCAAGGAAATAATATTAAGCAAAAATACTTGTGTAAAGGAAGAATCTACTTATTGTCAGGGCTAGTAAATGTCACTTCTAAAAGAAAATCAATCTGGAAGGACAGAGAGACAAAGAGTTTGCAATTAAGAACGTGTATTTTTAGAGATACTATTAAAAAGTATTTAATACAAAACATAACAGCTCTTTGATAAGGATTTTGTTCACACAGCTATGTCATATATCATTTCAGAGTACATATTTCTAAGCCTTCCAGCATTTCTTGTGTTAGATACTGTCTTATAGAAGATCACCTCAGCTACCAGCACATAAACTACCTGAAAACTTTAATGATGACAAGCTTCACATAAGGAAAAAAAAGGAATCAAAAGAATGAAAGTCATACATGGCTCCACAATTCATATTGTAAGTAATCTGCTACTCCATTTAACAGGAGGAAAAAGGATGGTACTCAAGACTTGTGGAAATGAGATCTCACTTATTAAAAATCATATAACTAACTTGCCGTATGTATCAATTTCAGTGGAAAAACATTCGAAGAGGAATGCATTCTTTAGCCTTCAGAGCAGCCTGAAGTACCATTACAGGTTCTTCTTTCCCTGTTGGTAAGTATCCTCTCTGCTTATGCAACATATTTGAAAAGAGGGGAAAAATAAAAACTTTGTCTGCATGATGTTCCCATTCAGACATGGGAAACAAACTGTTCTAGTCCACCTCGACACTGAGAAACCCTTCTGCACCCCCTCCAGCTTGAGGTTACACAGAGAATTGGAGGCAATGCTGCCAAGGTGATCAATCAGGTAGAAGGGCTAACTTGGGATAGAAGATTAAAAAATTAAGAGTGTACAGCTTGACATTTCCCAAAGACTGCAGGGTTAGGCTATAAATTGTAAAAGCTAACTGAGGGTCTAAGTTATTTGTCACTTCACTGATTATAGACTAAAAAAAAGTGAAAACATCACAGGAATAAACATGAATTTAAATGGCACTGAAAGGGTTAATACTGAGATACTGAAAGGAAATAAGGAACATGAAAATACAAACTTGACATTAAGAAAACGATCTGAGCAGACCTACTTACAGTCAATCAAATGACATTCTAATGAAAGTTTTAAAAATACTTTCTCAGACTAGTATGATTTGGCTATATGCCACTCTCTTGAAGAAAGTTGTAGAAGCAATGTGCAACTGGGACTAGAACAGAGAAAATGAGCCAGGAAGCAGCTTTTTGGATGGACTTATAAGACACAACAAATTTTTGCATCTTAAAAATCAATGTTTATAAACGTAAATGCTTATAAATTTCTTTCTGGTGGAAAGCCAATATTTTGAGAGAAATGAGAACTTACTTTCACCTAAAAAGCTGAAATAAAAAATGAAGGTGGAAACAATACAGTGGTATCAATCAATATACAATAAAACAACTATAATAACTTCAACTGACAGGGACCATGCAATGAAATAAAATTCTTAGTTTCTCTCCCCCCCACACCTCCAAAGTCTCATTAGTGAAAAATTACAAAACCTCTTTTATAGGAAACATAGGAAAAATCTATGACTGAAATTGTCATCGATTCTATCAAGTTAGCAACATTGTATTTGACTTGAAATAACACTAGAAATTCAAAGTTTATCAGAACCACTGGTTCATCATCAAAAAGTTACTGCAAACAATGCATGTATTTAATTTCTTATAAATATTTTCTTCTTTTCTTTTTCCCAAACATTTCTTTGAGCATGTGTTTGTGTAAGGAGGACGGAAACTACTGCAGATCCATTCTATTGACCTCTATTAAAGATACAGCATACAGTAGGTACAGCATTTCCACTAAGGACCTAAAACACAGCTAACCAGGATAATCATGTCATATGAAACCTGCTTTGCACTAGGAACTACCAATGGCAAAGCACTGATTTGTATTTGTCTAGAGGACAGTAACTTAACCAATCATCTACTTTACATGAATAAACAGTTTACTCCTCTTTACACCAGTCATTGAAAGAAGAACACTCATCAAGAGGCATATAATTCAATAAGAATATCATAAAATAATTCCAAGAAATTGGATTTGAATTGGAGATAACAACATCTTGCCTCAGGCTGGTACCTTCTATTTCTTCACAGCCATTTCCACCACCCTCTTCTACAGAGTACAAAAATACACTGGTTTATATTGCTTTACTTTTGAGAAATTAATTGTGTGGACTTTCCTTAAATGTCCTTTGAGCATTTCTGAGTACTTTATATGGATGGACCATTCAAAAGCCATATAAAACATTCAATGTCAAAAGGGAAAGCAAAGGTAACAGCTGTAAATCTTGACAGATCTGTTAGAATCCTTCAGATCATACTGTTTGGAGCACTCTGAAAAGTACAGGGTGTTTTTGAAATTGCAAATACATCAGAGTTTAAGGTCAAAGATGCAAATGAGGCCTGTGCACTGCCAGTTTTGTTGGTTTCAGTATAGTTCAATACCAGTGCTAATAAATACCACTGTACCCATTTTTATATGTTTTTTTATATGCTACCACATAACCATGTTCCAATAACAGTGTTTAAATAAAATTACCTTTTTTTTACCAGTGATGTACCTTTTTTGGATTATGCATTTTTTTTTTAATTTATACATAATTGCAGCTGGTTTCAGTGGACTACTTTTAAGAACAGTAATAATTACAAGTAAAACAAAGAAAGTGAAACCATTAATACTTTATGCTCACAAAATTCTTTGACTGTGATGATCCTGAACTAACAGTAATTAATTTAGCCTCACAATATCCCTGTGAGATAGGTAATTACTATCAGCCCCATTTTATAGGTGGGGAAACTGAGGCATGTACAGGTTAAATAACTTGCCCAAAGTCTTTACTAATAAATTTGATTAACATGTAAAAATACTGCATGTGTGTGTGCATGCATGTGTAACTAGTACTTGTGCATAGAAGCAACTTGTTTCTGAATACACATGTATCAGGATTTTAGATTCATTTAAAGGATAAAATAGTAAGATATCATGGATGTAGTTCAAGAGATTTGAAATCTAGCACTAGAAAATGGTAATAGTATTTTCTCAGTTTTAAAATTGTTTTAAAGTTATTCTTGCAGGGAAATCAAGGGCTTCCTTTATTATCTGCTGGGTATTATTAATAAAGTTACAGCAATACCAATATCTCTTTAGAAAACAGTGTTTTTGAGACATGACAAACCAACCTCACAGGAGTAGTGCATGAATCAAATTAATTAGCATCGAAAAACATTATTACAGGCACTATATTGTGCTAAGTGTTAATTAGAGTACCAAGCAATATTCTACTGTGTTCCAAAAGACTCCTGTGATCAGAGACACAAATCAGCCTGAATTAAATGTATAAAAGTAGCTGTTAAAGCATAAATTAGATGTGTGACCTAGTTGCAATAGAGTCCTTTGCCAATCAGACTAACCATGTAGAACAATCCCAAGATAGAACTTCCATCCCACCCCTTTCTGTGAGGGTGGTTTGCCACTCACCTGCCCTATACAAATAACCCACTTCAGATTTTATTTCACAGGAACAAGTAAGATGTTTGTAATACTATTTTATTCTCTGCTCCAGCTCATTCCACTAGAAAAAACAAGGAGAGCTGGTGAGGTGGGGAAGCCCCTGCTGCAACAATCCTGAGAGTTTCCAATGCACAGCACATTTTGTATTTGCACTTCTCTTCAAGAAACTCAGACTCAGATACCTTTAAGACCTTGGATTTCCACACAGTCTGGCATACAACAGTCAAATGCAGCAGTATTTCTCTGTTAATAAATTTACATGGCACTATACAACTAAATAGGTAGAAATTTTAGAACAATTTTTGAAATTATTTTCCTGAGCAGTTTGCAAGTGCTTTTCAGAATCTTCACTCTAACTTTTCCACTTAGTTCCTTACAGTAAGTTTATAAGCAAGATTTTCTTGTGCTTTACACATACATCTTATGGGGTTTGTGAGAGCCTACAGTACTACACTGAATTATTACACCCCAGTCTCTTGCATTTGATGACAATATGCTCTAGGATATCCACAGCTACATGGAAGAATGACTCCAATGCATACAATAATTTTAAGACAGTTCTTTCCTATTTTACTAGCATTCATTATTTTCTGTTTGCTTATTCTGGATGATGTAATTAGCTATCTGTATACTTCTTAAACAAGGTGGTGTGCGAGCTCGTCCCTAGCATCAGTATGACATTCAGTGAGTACAGAGTTATTTATTCTCTAAAGGCAAGAAGTAAAGAGATTATACAGATTTCTGAGAGAAGCATCCTAATTCCAGGCAATGTGGCACACACACGCACACCCCTTAAGCTCATCACACCACACTCAGTTTCCTACAAGGTGACATTAAGGGCAGAGAAAAGACAAGAGGGGTGTGGATTCACTGTGCTGCTGTTCCCTGGGGATGTAGAAGTCAAGACTAGGAAACTCTGACCCAGCTCACAAAATTGGGATTAGGAAACACTGACCTGACTCACCAGCCTTTCTGCAGGCAGCTCCTCCAGAAGCCCCTCCCTCCCTCTCTTGCCCTCCCTGCAGGAATAGGGGTCAGTGGTGGTAGGGACTGAGTGACACCCTGTGGTGATGGGAAGGAAATATGAACCCCTAAATCCCATCCCATCCTCCCCATGACACTTCAGATTGTCAAACTAACCCTAGTGGAAAAGGTCAGAGTTTGCCCACTCCAACCTGCAAGGGCAAAGATCCAGAGGAAATCTCAAACGGGGATGCAGTGGGAAGGAGATGGTGGTGCTACCCAGCCATTCCCGGAGGAGAGCTCTGACCTATCTGGCACATCTGCCCGAATAGGAAATTAAAAAAAAAATAATCATACAAAGAAAGTGACTTAAAAGAAGTATTTACACTCTCTGGAAATTTAAAAAGAGACAGGCCACTAGCACAGGGTTTTACAGGATAACTCATCTGGCACCTGCCATCATCCTGGAGGTGCTCACTCAGGAGAAAGGAGAGAGGAACTGAAATGACTGTCTGCAAGTGAAGGCACCTGGTCTGGAAATAGCATCAAGCTGGTGTTTTTCTTTCACCCAGGGTGGGACTGGGGAAGATACTGGTGCTGATAGTTTGTCAGGACTTGCTACACTTACAAGAGCATGATCATATATTATGAGATATCCTAATTAACATTTTACTTCCTTTAATCCACAGAAGGACCTAAGCCTAAATTCATTAGATTGTCTCACACATGTTTAAGTTAAGAGCTTGTCTCAACTAGGAGTGCATTTGTCTCTCACTCAGTCCTTTCCCAGCACAGAAACACTTGACCTCCTAAAAAAATTGTCATTGTGATCAACCAACCATCTGTTCTGGTCTAGTCACTTGTGTAAAAATCACCTTACCAGGATGAAGAGTCCCAGCCTTCTGCTGAATACCTCAATTAAAAATATAATTAAAAAGTTACAGTCAATCATTCTAAAAATAAACATAAAGAAACAGAGCACAGACAGAAAAGAAATAAGGTGGCATTGAAGGTGCCTAGGGCTACAAATTTGCTACCATAGTTTGAGTTTCAATCGTGATGAGTTCCCAGGCCATAGAGTGAATACGACATAGCCTTCGCCCTTGGTAACTGAAGATGGATGCTTTTTTCCACAGGACTGGTATGAAATCTCCTCTCCATCAGCATTTACAGCCATATTTGCAATTTTGTGACATCACCAGGGAAAAATAAAATGGTACAGAGAAGTCTTTCGGGTTTTGTGTTCAGCTGCAAATATCAGCTAACCAGGTAACTGTGCATCTCTCTGGAGTTGATGCTCAAAACCACGCCTGAGTGATTGCCTATGAAAATATAGAAAAAAAAGGCCAACATTAGTGTATTTCAGGTACTCCACAATAAATCCCCCTTTTATTGCAGGGACAAGTCAATTGCATAAGAGAGTGGCTTTATCAAACAACAGGTCAGGTGAAAGTTGGTGCAACAGCTCCATGTACCTACAGCACACTTTTGCGCAAAGCTTTTGCTCATGATGGTGGATTTGTGGTGAATTCCTAGGGTTTCTATCCCAGTGACAGCATAAGTTGGTTCTCTGTGTGGCTTATTAAGGTGTAGTTGTCTCGAGGGGTGCAGGTGAGGGAGGAGAATGGAACCTGAGGCGTCCATTCGACATGCCACTGACCTGGGACTGGACACTGACCGGCATCAGCAATAAGGGAACTCTGTAGCTGTTCAAGCTGCCACTTCTCCCAGAAGGAGTCACTGCAAGGTAATGGTGTTGAGGAGTCCCAAGGTGGGGGTTGCGATAAAGTAGGCAACATAAAATATATAGAAAACAAAAAAAGTGGATGGGTGAGTCTGGAAATACTGTACTGTGGAAATTCAAAAGTTACGAGAAGAGAGAGAACAAACAGAAACCCAGGCCTGTAACTCCCTCCTGTGCATGGAGTGGAGGCGGCTACTGACATCTCCCAACAGGGGGGGAGAAAGCTCACCAGAACTAGAAGGGATCTCCATAGCATAGGAACCTTCTGCAAATCATGTCGTACACCACAGTTTAATATAAAGCAGGGATTAAAACATGTTACATACTCTGGCCAGATAAAATAGAGTATCATTAACAGGACTATTTTCCTGGCAGAACTGAGCAATACTAGAGCTAGTGGAAAGTATTGCAAATAACCAAACAGTAGGGCGAGAGGGAGTATAGTTTTATGTCTTAAATAACATATTCTGTCTAAAAGCTGTACAGTAGGTGACAAATATGGATGATTATGATCCACAGAAATGAGCTCTTTACACTCTCCTAGAAAGGCTGCTGGTGCTGACATCCTGGCAGAAGCACAAATCACCTCGAGCTATGCATTTGCTAACTGTCTTATGTCATCAAAACATCATGATCTTGTACTCTTTAACCCTAAAATAATGCTCTGCCCAGATAGAAGATTTTTGTTTTCTCTGAGTAATGAGTGCAGGGCAAGCAGAGATTAAGTCTGAATATGTTACAAATCAGGGTAGCATTTCTTTATTCCAGCATCCCAAGCTGCCTGGTTTTTTTAATAGGTCATAAGAGATTTTCTACCATTAAAAGTTATGGTTTTGTACATTACTAGAGGTGTTTGAATGCTCCACTTTAATAGGCATGTCTGCAAGGACTTTATTAGCATTCAGCTTCTCTTCTAAAGACCCTGAAGATGATCTCATCAAACAATTTTAACACAGACTCTGTTTTTCAGGGCTATTTTTCGGACTAACTCCAATAAAGTCAGGAGGGCAACCAAGGTTGACTTGCAAAATCAGAATGAAAACACAGTGACACTCATACACAAAGGTTGTCAAAGAGGAGATAGAAATACACAAAGCAAAGCAAGAGGCTGGATTCTTCCCTTGTGTTCAAAGCTAACACCTTCAAGAACTGAGAAGTGGTGCATAGTTCAGCAAGTGAAAATAAAGACATCAACAACAAACAATAAAGGTGAAACCCAAGATAAAGAAATCTCTCCTCTGACCAGGTTCTGTCTTCCCCAGGCTACCTCTGGTGCAGCTAAAACACATCTTCCATGGAGTTCATGAAGACATTACAGTTGCCTTCCACACCATGAATCTACTGCTACAAATCCGAAAGGCTTTGGGTTATCTGATTTATTTTCACAAAATGTGCAGAAATGGAACTGGGTGTTTTTTACATTGTCCTACATTTTTCAGACTGTGACCTGAAAGCAGTCTGAACAAAATGTAAATTTTACAATAAATGAACTTTATAGATCAGCACCCCGTCTTACATTAAAACTACCCACAGGATGCCAAGATAGACACTTCCACCTGACATTGAAATCATATCTGAGAGATACTCACAGAAAGTTTCCCTTGTGGTTCCCTTACAACCACCTCATGAATACTAAGAAAGTCAATAGCTAAATTAAGGAAGACTTATGATACTTTTTATACATGAATAAATTTAATGTTTCTAATCACAAAAACCTTAAATGCCACTGGAATATGAAGGCAAATATAGCAATGGATCTCCATTCAATCCATCTGAAATCATAGAAGCATTGACTCTACAAATCCTTCTGGCCTAAACTCAATTTTCTACTAATTCTGGAAATTATTGAGTGAATTCAACTGTTGCAGATTATATCCTATTCTCTCAAATATAATTTATCTCTAAAATTGTCCAAGTCAGTCTCCTGATATTAAACTACTATCTCTGTACTCATGCTCTATATAGCATATCATCCATACATTAGTTTGTATATCAAGCAAGCCAAAAGAAGGTGACTGAGATAATCCCTTGTCAGTGGTGTTACCATTTGTGTCTTCCTGAGACTGAACAGAAAATGAAAAAGAGCTAAAAGGAAAACAAACAATTACTTATGAAAATTTATAAACTAAAAACGAAGTTACCTCTTGCGTTACCTAGTGTTTGAGAGTCCAGATCATCATCAATAAACTCCTCACCCTGGATGATGTTCTGGGTGTCCTCACTGTGATTAACAGGGCTTGTCATCTCCTGCTCTTTTTCATTGTGCATCTGGGCGTAGACATTTCTGCCTGGCAGTTTCCTAAATCGGACAAGGAGAAAAAATTTTGTGATGGAGTTCTTTTGTGTCACACACACACTGGCATCAGAGTAGAGCTCCAGCAGGTCAAAGTCATTCCAGAATCAAAACCATTACCACTCCCTCCTTTCCTTAATTTTGTGATCATGACCTAAACTTATCAACTCCTTATTCTGGGTTACAGCTCTTTTTAATCACCTTATCACGATGTTCATACCAACATAATAATTAAGCATCAATTTATCACCAAGACTGACAGACAATGAACAATGCTGAAAAAAATACTAAAGGCACAGAAAAACTGTTTTAAGAATTCAAGCAACAAAAAGGCTCAATAAGCATTCATTCCTGGTCCCAGGTGTCTTTACAAACATTAGGCTGGATTGCAATCATCATCACATCTCCCTGGTGACGTGGGCTGACATTAAAGTGTGATAGCATCAAATGGCACTAGTAGTCATCAGGATGGCAGAGAAAAAAGCAGGAGAAGTCCAGGAGACAGAGAGTGGAAAGAGAGTGAAGAACCGGGAGGCCAAGACCAAGTGGTAAGGAGTAAGAAGGTAAACAGGCATCAATAATGGCACAAGACAGGGGAGGTTGGTGAAGTTAAGCAGGCAGCACTGAAGGAGATAGAGTGTAAAGCTTGGACTGGGAACTAATGAATTAGACAAAACTCTCTATACGAGACAACACTAAATTCACTCATTCTGACTGTAATCTAGAGAAACAAAAAGCATGTTATTAAATGACTCTAATGAACAATTAGCACCATGGCTGAGATCGGGAGGCTTATGACTTAGTATTGATAAAAAGTTCTTAACCAGATTAATTTAAATTAGATTTCGTAATATCAAAGGGAAAAATTAGGGACTTCTAATTTTGCAACACAATTTATGGTTTAAACATTTCTCAAGAGTCACACCCTTTGTGCTGCAGCTGTGCTCACCTGCAATCTGCCTGGGCACATAAGGACATCCTTTCCTAGGCACCAACCAGACACTTCAGATTTGGGAGTTGCAGGCTATAAACTCTGTTTCCTATAGTGCAAGAAGCAGCTTGACAGCTTGATCAGCATGACAGTAGATCATGGCTGTCAAAGCCTGTGCTTAAACACAGATTATTGCAATGGGCAGACAATGAGAAGAAAAGAGAAAACAGGGTTGAAGTGCTGAGGTTAAGCTGCAGTTTCTGTTGAGCTCCTTTAGACAGTGAGAAAACAGAAAAAGTGACACTAATTTTTAGGTTTCTCTCTAAAAACAACCATCAGCTGTTCTATATTCCGGCAGTTGAGAAGTTTGAAAGCTGCATAAACAGATTGCTCTGTTTTCTCTAGGCTTTTGAAGATGACCTGTCTTTAGATGTAATTTCAAAAGAAGGTGTCTTTACCAGATGGCACCATCTTAGTTTGAGATAAAAGTTACTGCAGCAAGCTATTCTAAACAGCACCTTCCATTGTGTCAAAGTAATTAAAATAAATGGAAATTGCTAAACAATGAAAGATGACTGAAGACAATCTCCTCTCTTTAATTTGAACAATCCAAAAGATGAATTGCATCCTATATACCTACACACACACACAAAATTATATATAGATATATAAATTAGGCATTTTATCCCATTATTTATAAGCAGTACAAAGAAAGAAATCTGATTGTTCTTACTCTTTTCTGTATCTCAGTGAAGATGGGGTAGATAAAGCACAGGACTAGCCAAAGGACAAAGTTGTAAAGATGGTCTGATGACACAATGTTCTGCTATTATGATAACTACAACAGGTCCGACACAAACATACACATAAAGCCAAGTCCTGCATCATTCTCCTTCCATTACATGGATAAAAAAACCCCATGTTTAAAGAGGGAAGGACATTTCTCATTACCAAAACAAATACATTAGGTAATTAATTTTGATTTTTTTTTCTCCAGGGCCAGTAACTCCAGACTGTTTTTAATGTGTCTGGTAATGAAACTAGTCATGTGGAAAACAATATTCTCTCAATCAGACCTGCATCAAACCTGTCAAATTGCTCACTTTCAGTCCACCAGCAAATGCCTAAGGGAGACAAATCCCAGAAGAATGTCTTTGTAACACATCTGCAGAATAAGCACATATGTTTCTGCAATAATTAGGGGACCTTCTCAAAACTATTTCTGACAGATTTTAGAAGTATCAATGGTATTATCCAAACAATTTTGACATAATAAAAATGTTAAACGTCTCAAACCCATATGGCCCATCAGACCTTTGCAGTTAAGTAAAAGGAGAAGAGCTGCTATTCTGACTACTGTCTGCCCAGACTGAAGGACCAGTGTGAAACCAGGTCAAGGAGGTATGTCCTCTAGTGTAAATCCTGAGGCTTCAACTCGTGTCTCCTGTAAGATTTACTAGTTAGAGATAACCACGATCACAACACCTACTATTAAAAATATGAACATTTCTTCACTCTTCCTAAATGAATGAACCTCTCAAGTTCACAAATAACCATTAAATGTATGGTTATCCCATTTCTTTATGGGCTAAGAATAAAGGGAGAAAAGGTGTGAGATGTTATTTCTCACTCATCTAACCCTGCCCTGTCCTGCTAAGTACAGATCCATCATGGAAGCTACAAAGCTGAGGTACTCAGTACTTCCATACTTTCCTTTGCTCCTCAACCTGACAGAGGAAAGCACCTTAGACTGTAACACTGAGCATGGACTGGAGGAAGGAGAGTATTACAGCTCTTGAGAAGACACATACTGTAGGCATTAGACCTTTTATACACTACAGAGATCTCTACGTGTTTCATATTGGTTCATTTTTACAAGGAAGAGACTCAACCACACCAAATGAAATGATAGTCCAATCCTTTTCAAGAGGCACTTTTAACACATGTGCCAGATGTTCTGTTTACAAGGGACAACCACAAGAGATGAAACAGGATGTGGATACTGAATCCTTGCTAAGATGGCCTTGATAGTGACAATTTTCCAGTTGCTCCTTGCTGCTCTAACAGATAGGAAGGAAGCTACTACCCCTAATTATACAGAGAAAAACTCTAGTGTACCATGATGTGCTTTGCTCTTCTTCAAGAAGCAATTGAGTCCAATGTAAGTGTTTGAAGTAGGCAGAGCTGAAATGCTTGGGTGTACATAAAAGACAACTGTGAAAACATGACAAGGCACGAAATTCGACCCAAGAGATTTATATCAGAAGTATGGAAATTGAAAGCACATTTAGAAGAACAGACTAAAAGATTATGCAATACTTTCTTTTGGGGGTCTACTCTTCATCTGCAAAGTGCATGTGCTTCACATCCATCACTGCAGACAATTACCTCTGCTCAGCAGCACCCCATGGTTTACATATTTAGTTCCTTTTGTTTTCCCTGTAGCATTTTTTTTCAATCATGAAGAAGAAGAAATATTCATGTCTGCTTTGAGAACCATAAAAATATGAGGCTAGAGACATAATTCTGCACAGTACTACTAAAGAACATCACAGCACATGGTTTTCACCATGCTTTTCAAGTCCTACACCTTTTAGAAGCTATTCCAGAAGGTATATTTTTCTTCCTATATTCACAAATTCTAATCAGTTCATACCCAAAACTGTACTTAAAAATGTTCATCAGGAAGGAAAGCAGGAGGGGATGAGATATTGATTCCCACTCATTTAAACTCTAGTTTATTTGCTTTTGAATTCCTTCCTTGCGGAGCAAATATTCATTGGCCTTTATGCAACTTCATTTGTTTTCCAGAGGCTTGATTAAAATTCTGTTTAATATAAAAAATAGGAACATATTCACATGGCAAAGGATACAGAATAATGTAGCATTCTCTTGGAACTTAAAGAAAACTAACAACAATAATAATCCATTAAATAGAATACTTTATTGTGGTGTTGACTTTATCATGTTTGGATTTATGTTCAGATGACTGACTTCTTTGTGCTTTAAGACACTCCTGATATACTTGCCTCTTTCATTTCAGAAATCTTTTTAGCATGCCATTACTTTGATTTCTGAGGAAGTTTTTACGAAATATTATGGATCATTAAATTAGTGCCTGTTTTTTTTATCACTAAAAGGCACAGACTGGGACTAAGCTTGCTCTCATGGAACATAAAAGTAGTATAAGCAAGGTGGGGAAAAAAGATAGCTTTTCTTCAGAGACTGAAAATGAGACAGTAAGTCAATGAGGCAGAAAGATAACAGAGTTCTGCTCCAGATTGTAGAAATGACCCAGGAGGGGGTTCATTTACCAAAAGTGGCACTTGATATTAGCAGGGGGAAAAGGAATACACACAGAAAGGTATAAATCTGGGCAAAGAGGATTCACCTTGATTTGTGAAAATGATGTATGCAGCTTTAAGTACACTGCAAGTAGTTTGCATACAAATTAAAAGACAAAGATTTTCATACTCTTTCAGAGAATTGAATTACAATTAACCAGGTAAAATACATAAGCAGAAAAGCCAAATATTTGCTCTGGTTTGGCTACTCTAATATCCTGCTGTTATACAGAAATGAAAAATGAGAAAAGATGATTTCAGATCTTCCGCTAGTAACATGATGATTAAATGGCAGCTTTGATGTGGCTAAAATATAATTTTCCTTTCCTCCACTTTTCCTTGTGCAGACAGTGCTATTTCCCTTCTCTATTCTGTTGCCCGGGACCCCACACCATAAAGCTTTTTCTGAGACGAAAAAAAAATCTTTTCTGGAAAGCAATTTGAAACCCACAAAAAAATACAAACATTGTTCCAAAGGGAATGGAAGAAATGTGTTCTTACTGAACCAAATCTAGTAAAGATGGTATGATATATAAAAAATATATGCAGGTCCCAGATCTGCATTAAAAAATAGTCCTCATTTCTCAAAAAAATATTTTCCAGCTGCTTCATGCTTTTGTGGTCAAAAGAAGCAGCTGCAGTCCATTTTACCTGGATGTTTAAACAACTGAAGCATACTAGTGAGTATTACAACATATTGTTTGCTTGAGGCATCCGATCAATGCTTTCCATGCTCAGAAAGTAAGGGCAAGGAAAAGGCGTGTTGCTCATGGCTTGCCCACCATCCACGTTTGCTGGCCGCACAGCCTCTTGCTCCACAATCATGGGCACACTTACCAGCCAGGTATGACCTATTGCTCCTTGCTGCCATGCTCAAAATCCCCCCCCCCCCCCAAACTATCTAAACCAATAACTCAACTATACCAAATGGCTCATCTCATTTGCTGGAAACAATTCGAATTAGTTTTTAAAACCATCACAGCTATAATTTAAAATTTACTTTTCATTTATGGTGTAAAAATAGCCCTAATCCGATGTCCTTATCTACTCAGATCACAAAGGAAACCCTTGTGTTTCTCAAGACTTTTTGGCTTTTGGTTTTTTTTTTGGTTTTCCCCTGAAGCAACTAACCAGGCTCAGGATTGCCAGGAGTCACTTCATGAGCTCTGGGGACTCCAGCACCAGTTTTTCAAGCACATGTGGCAAGAAGTGGTTGGATGCACAAAGGAGCCATCAGATACAGAGGGGAGGTTTGGGGAGGTTCAGGAATGAGGAGATGAAACGATAAATGATTGCAATTTTACAGCATATAGGAACAGAGGGCAGCAGTTTTCCTAGTCAATGCTTAAGTATTTGGGATTAGGGCATATGAGAACAGATGTGACCTACAGTCACCTAATCAGTAGCTAGACAGCCATGACAGCTCTTGTTATCCAGCAGATCCTAAAATGTTAGATTTGATTAGAGGGAAATTATACAACTTACATCTTTCCTATTTAATGGGAATTCCTTGAGGAGCTATGAAATGGCATTGGTTTTTACTATGCACATCACTAATCAGCCAAAATCCCACTACTTCTGTGTGAATCTGCCTCTGTTTTTCCCCTGTCCCCCTACCTAATTAGATGAAATACTCTCTTCATTTTCTCCATATGAGGCATCTGACAAAGAATCTTATGCAGAATTGTTATTTTTAGATTACTGCTCTCCCCCAAACTAATTTTGTGAGATTTACTTCTTGCAAGAGACACCAATCTTAAGCACCAAATACTGCAGTTTTCAAAAAAATGGGAAATTAAACAGGAGCAGCAAGTGTCATCATTGCTTATAAAAGGTTAATAAAAAAGAGGTATTAGTCTCTGATGTCTTGTCAATACCATCTTTCATCTCCCAGTTCAGTCTGACAAAAATTAGTGTAAATTGAGACCCAAGTTCTTATGACATGAACTGCAGAAATAATCTGGGCAGGTGAGCATGCTTGGGGACAAGGAGCCTCAACACTCAGGAACCTTGGAGTGGTTTGGGCAGGTTTCTCCATTTTCTATCAAAACTGTAGGTCTACACAGAAGCCAGTAGTTTGTCTTTAATTTTCATCACAAGTTTTGAACTCATTGCAAATAGATGAAATGTTCTCATGTATGAAGCTGTAACTTCACTGCCAATCCAGTCACCATCTTATTTGCAAGCCAAGTTTTCCTTCTTTGCATCTTTCCAGGTATCAACCTTATGTTAACAGTCCTTTGGGACAGCAAAGAGAGAGAAAGAGAGCAGTCCAAGGCATGTCCATGCATTCTCTTGCATACCACCTGCTCTGCCTGTGCTCTAATGCCAACTGCAAGTCCTGTAGACCCAATTAGTGTAGTGATAAAACTAGGATTAATAAAAATGTCTCTGATGTGGGGAAAAAAGGAGTTTTAACCTTTTGTGAAGGGAGTATCGGACTATTAACCTACATTGAATGAAAGAAAAGCATCATGGAATGTCCTTCATCTCCTCCCTAATTTTGTGGATCATACATCAGAATTATGGACAGTATTAACATTTCAAAACTTTATACATGTCTGTAATTTCTAAGTGGAAATAAATAATATTTTTATTTGCCTGGGTAATCTGAGTTACCATAGGACACAGTAAGTGTTAGTCTTTTGAAATTGTCACCTAAAATTGAACATTTTTTGTTGCCTATGGCATTCTTTTAGCAAATTAATTTTTAAAACACAGGCATATAATATCGACAAGCTGCCTTTGTGCATTACAACTTTCAACTTTTATATCCATAAAGGACACTCAGTTTCATAGCCTCGGTCCCTGTGGACCAGTTTGTGAACTTCCATACTCACTGTATTGACTTTAAGGGACTGTACTCCCAACTAAGTACTCCATGGGGATCCAGAAATTCACCATCCATCTTCATAAACACAGGAAAGACTTTTTAAAAGGGATTAAAGATTTGAGTGCTCAAGAAAAAAGCAATTTTTCAAACATAGCACTGATTGGGTACTCAATATTCTTTGAAGATGATTGCAAATGAAGGATGTAACAAAAAAATGTCATATTTGAAAAGCTTATCAGGAATATTAAAAAATAATTCTGTCAAACATCTCTGAAACAGATAAGATACAGACTAAAATTGAATACTACTGCTTGGTCATTCATCAATGACAACAGCCATTTTCAGGCTACTGACAAACATTTGAATATAACTCAAAATTCTCCTCAATCACACTTAGATTACTCCCCCAAAAGGTAAATGTAATGATTTTTCACAAATTATATACAGAAGTGTAAGAGACATTAAAGCTCACAGTTTGGAAATTGTACTACAGTTTCCTTTTTAATAAAAGCTCTATTTATAAAGCAATGGTTCATTGGGGCATTTTAGAAAGAACTTAAGGAAGATAATTTTTTTATTCCTTTATTGAATATTTTATACTTCTTCTACCAGGCAGTAATTGTGTCTGTTATTTAACTGCTCTCATTTAAAAGCTAATAAAAGATATAAATCACAGAGCTTTTGAAAGATATCACAAGGAAGTTTTATGATCCCAAACTACAAACACCAAATCCTCCATGTGTTGAAATAACATAATTACATCACATCGACCACTTTTACGCTTTTCCTTGCTGCAGGCACCTAACATAGCAAAATGGATTTTTATTCCATTGTAGACAGTCTGATACAGTATTCTGTGCTTTGCACTTTTGAGCAATCACTCACTATGAACTCTAAGAAACTTAGGTGGTGCAGTGAGAAAGTTAAGAGATTCTTGAAGAAAAGGGGCTTTTCTCTATTGACATAAAAATTCTTTAGCTAAACAAACTCATACTTCAATGCTAGCTACACGTACTGCTCTCACAAACTTAATGCTGCACCTAGTTCTAGAAACCTAAATTTATTTCAAATAAAAATCAATCTTTCAAAAATTCATCAAATCAATATCAATCTTCACTAAGTAAGGACAACACGATTTGATGATGATGATGAAGGCTTGTTTCCAGTATGTTCAAACCCAAGAGCTTCTGAAGTCCCCAGAGATAAAGAAATACCAAGAGGTTAGTCAATGATAACATATCCCACGAACAAGAACAAATTATTTAAATTGCACAGCACCCTAGCAGCTCTGCTTAAAATCAATTGCAGACTAAAGATATATTGGACTGTCTAAGGTTGGCATGGCTCAATTTTGAGAATATGCCTCACATAAAGGCCACTTCCAGAAATATTTCTTCCCTCCACACACTCTAGAGTCAAATTAACACTAATCTCTTTCTGTCAGTCATTCTCCATGGCATTGCCTCAGCAATTAAAATTTAATGTGTGCAAAAAGAAACCCCAGAGCATTATGCGCTTCGATAAAACTACTTTTTTAAGCAAATCAGCATTGCAGATGCATTCCTTGTCCTGATAGCTTTAGTTTATTCGTAACTGTTATGAGTAATGAGGAGGGAATTAATCAGGAATAATATTTTAGTTCAGTTCTGATTCTTGATGATATCAGACAAACTGAAGAAACTCTCCATAGTTCCCATATTGTTGATATTTATCTTGGAATGTAGCAAGTGAAACAAGCATCAGTGCAGTACCTTGAGGTCTGAATAGTTCAGAAAAACATGGTTTTCAAAGTGATGTGCTTCTTGCAATTCTTCAAGAAATCTCCTTTTCAAATTACAACCTCTGCTTTGCTAGTCTGTGGGTAAATCTAATGCTTAAAATGTGTGTGTTGATTAAGGTTTACTTGCCTTTTGAACTTGTAGAGGATGAAAGCCCCGACTGCAACTAGACAGATAACAAAGAGAACCACAATAGCCCAGTAGCCACTGCCTCCTCCAATCCTCTGAGAGTCTGAAATACAAAATAAAAGAACAGTATAGCATGTCCTCTTTCACATCAGTCACATTGTTGAGCCTTTTTTTCTATTTAATTGTCAAGTCAAAAACATTTGTTGGTATTTGTGCAACCTCTTCTTTTCCCTCCATCTGTGGCTTCTTCAAAAAGACAAAAACACAGAATTAATTGGTGACTTGTGACTGAAGGACAGAGGGCCAATTAAAAAAAAACCAACCAACAACAAACCCCAAGACCCTGGAGATTTAATTATTCACATACTCAGTGGTTGGTTTTTTCCTGGGAATCTAAAGTTTTCATAGTAAATGATCACACACCCTAAGTACATGTGCCTCACAAAAATAGGGCTGTATTAATTTAGCAGATGGAGAAACTAAGGCTCTGAACAACAAATGAACTCATCAAGGTCATACATCAGTAAAGGCTGGAATGAACATGGGCTTCTTTCAATCCCAGCCTTTTGTGGTGGCTAACGAATGTCAACCCTTTAAACCAGATGAGGTACCACAGTGAGACTGTAGCACAGCTCTACAGATAAAAGAGTTTTGTCTTCTACAGAGAGCTGACAGATAAAATACCACTAGCATTTACACAAATTGATTGTGGTCAGCTAAAGCTGTTCTCCCACAACACACTGAAATACGAAAGAAGGATATATTATGGGAGATAATACACAAAAAATTACAGGACATTCCAATAGAAGATTCAAGTCAAAGCTGAACTTTCTGGTTAAAACATAATTTTAACGTCTCCCTGTTAAAAATACACACACTTATGCACATATACTCTCTTCAACCAGTTTCCATCAACACAGTGAATCCAGAGAGGCAGGAAATGCATGTATAAAAATCCCCTGTATCCACTTGTTTTAAAAAGAGTAAAACCAAAATTTATCTCAGGACAGGATTAGCAATGTGGAGACCCTACAGCAATCCTCACATTAGTTGAGTTGAAGATCAGAGATACATGGCAGAGAAGCAAGTCTGTGTCTCTGACTCATGTAGTTAGAGCAGTAGAGCTAATGGTTGAGATAAGGGTAAAGAAGTTCTGTTTTCTCGGCAGCCAGTGCAACCAAAATGTCTTTAGATCACCAGATGGAGTTTTTTGAAGCCTGGTTGCCTCTTTCTTCAGGGTACTATTTTGTGCAATAGAGGTATTTACTTAATGTTGTGGTTACACAGAAAAAGCAAGAAGCTTGTGATACAAATCATGAACTATGACAAAATGGAAATACCTAAGAAATATTTATTCGGTTGTGATTCTTATTAATTATCAAATGAAAATGTGTACATATATATGTATGTACACATACGTGTATATATATTAACATATATATATTTATTCATATGTAGCAAGTACCAAGTTAGTATATACACGTTATATGTATACATATATATTGATACAAAGATTTTTTCCTTAACTTATCAGAACTCAAACTGGCATCCAAAATTGGTCTGTTGGGAGCTTTGTTTACATATTTACCTGAACTGGAGTCAGCTAAAGTCACCAAGACCCAGTATCCTCCCCTCAGAAAGAAACTGATGTTGTGTGCATTCAGGGCCTGCTTTATAGCTGCTATTCTCTGAAAATACAACAGAGAGAATGTCAGACGTCTCGTGCTCTGTTCCACTTTGAGACACCCAACACTCTAAAAATGAAAACCTCTGGCTCATTAAATGGTGAGAAACTCAGAAAGCATTTGTCAATGAGCTGAAATCTTAAAGAAATCCCATATTTAAAAATCATGCAAAACTCCCCAAGAAATAAAAGCTGAAAATGTCAAAAGTTTATAGTCAATTCTTTCTTTCTGATTACCAAAGTCTTTACTTTTACCCAAGAGGTGACATCAAGTTATTTGCATGCACTATTGAGTTTATCCAGGTCATAACTCACACAGTGAATAAACCATATTAAAAACTCTCCGTTCCTCTAACCTATCAGAAGAACACCTGTGATGTCACTTTGGATTTCTTTCTATGAAAAGTAACTGCTATTTAATAATGAACTGCATGTCATAATTTACCTTAACTCCTTACCTATAATGGGATGAATTCCACCTATATCTAATTTTTAAGAATACTCTGTAGCAATATAAACATCCATCCATGTGGAAAAAAAATTGGTATTCCTCCCATTTTCCTCCAGTGGATAGAGTATAGTAAAATATGGTCTCTACTATTTTTATGGAGCAGAACCATTAAATACCATCATATCCTAACCCCAGATGACAAATTGTCTGAATTATCCCTTCTACTTGCTTGTGTCTTCAACATGGGCAATTTTCTAAAAGATCAAATCTAGTTTTATACTCTATGCCTTATAATTTGGGGTATGACTTCCCAGAGGATGCCAAATTAGAAATATGCTTTATATCCATGAAACCTTCACGAGTAACTTCTTTTATGATATTATCAATTATGATGCTCATCTTTGACAAGCCTTTGCAGTATAATAGACAGAAATCCCTGTAGTGTCTCTTATATTCTGGACAGAGACTGTACAAAAGTTCAAATATCTTCATTCTTATTGAGGAATTTTAACTTCTGAAGCCATTTCACTGACTTTATTACATTATTTTTGTATGGGAATGACTCAGCATAAGGGTGATGTGAGCATGGCTTCAGTTATTTTACAAGACAATTACACCAGATAGCTCCTGAGTTGCCCAAAGTCTGAAAAGACAATGGATACGAGAACTTCACTGTGTAGCAGGCTTCAAACTGATGCTGAAATAGAGTTGCTTCATACCAATCCAGGTTCATTCATGTGTTCATGGTGTACAGTGCCAGAGGGACCACTACTTTAGGTTAATCTGACTTACAGCCAATAACCGAAATTACTGAGTTCCATAATTTTGGATACCTTATATTTTCCTGGCAGGTGCTTGAGGAACCCAACATATGCTTTGGTTTTTGCCTAAGTGATTAATATTTGTTCGTTATTCCTCTCCCCACCACTGAGCTCCCACGCAAGTCTATGTGAACTGCAGCTCCACAGGTCAAAACTTTGAATCTCATGTGAGTCCAGCCAAAGGCTCTGGCTTATTTATTTCACTGTTAGACTGATGGGTTTTTTTGGTATCCATGGGGGTTTTTTTTCTGCTTTGCGGTATTTACTGAGCATGGTGCTGCCGCCTCTTCAATTTTTTAACAAATACAGTGTTTGGAGCTCCTCTCTAGACTTTCTAAGTCAAGGTTCTTATACCAGCATTTGAATTTTCCATCTTCTTTTTTTACATCCTTTCTGATGATAATATTTGTACATGGGAACACAACATCTCCTGCACTATAAGAATGCAAAAATAATGGCACCATTCAAACCCTTACCCACTTACTTATACATCTGGGGTTCTGACTTTCCCTTTTAGCCAAAGCAACTCTCTGGTAATTTTCATGCAGTAGTTTGTCTGGATAGAGTCCCAACTCTTCCTCAGAGCCCCTGCCTTTCAGATTATAGTTTAATTGCACTTTAATTGACTCTTTCCACTGGACTCATCCCACCTGACATTAGACATGTAATAGATGTGCATAAATTAAGCAACCAAGTCTTCTCTAGAGTCAATGATTAGAACTGAATACTTTTGAAACTGCTGTCTTCCTGAAAGCAGGTTAAATCAGTCAGCTCCATGCATAAATTTTAAACAAAAAGGGCTTCTGTCAGATTGGAACCAAATTTCAGAATTTTTCCAAAGGGCTCCTACTACTACACTGACAGTTTACTTATCATCTTTGTTATTGATGGCTACTTTTATCAATAATGACTCCTATTCTAGATAGCATCACATCCCAACACTCCATGTAAAACACTAGTATAAACTCCAGTAAGAAGGTTTTCTCTGCCTGACCAAGAAATTATTGCCTTTAACAATCTTTCTGAAATAATGTAATATTTCCAAATCTAAAAGGTTTTCAGCCAAGAACCAATAGGTTCTCTTTAAGGGAAGACATTTCATAACTAAGTTAAGGATTTCGGGGACACCTCCTTCAAATGGGCAAAAACCATTCTGCATTGGTGAGTCTTCTCAGTAGTATCACAACACACCCCAGCAGTGTGACAAAACACATCCTTCCAGTGACACATAATAAAGATCGTCAAGATTCTCTTCTGGTAACAGAAGAGAATGTAAGAAATCTTTAAACAAGTGACAACAGAAGTATTTTCCTGTTGACTTAACCAGTTACTGCTTCTAAGTTTATTCACATAGGGTATATTTCATAATATTTCTCAAGTCACAATAGATTCTGATACAACACATTTTATCAAAATTTGTGCCATTCAAGTCTAAATCAACAAAATTTATATGCACATATCAATAGCTAAAGTAGTGTCCGTTAGTAATAATATAAAAATAGAAATGTAGGCAGCTGGCACTAGAAGACTGGCTCTACAGCACTGTACTGTATAAAACAATCTGTGTTGAAATGTGATATTAGTGCACATGACTTTTTATCATTGGATAGCATAGGACTCTGTAATTGCTCCTGTCTCCCTTGTTCCTGCTCCAGCCCCAGGCATCATCTGGCCCCATTCATCCTAACAATGTCAGAAAAGCATATCTATTCTCCAGATTACACAACTACTTTCCCCTTTCAGTGCTCCTCTACTTTCAGAAAAACTTCGTAAGATCTTACTGGAGGACAACTTATCACAAAATCATGCCCTGTTAAACTACTGTAATATCCCTACAGCCCCATTGAATAGAAGCTTTTCCAAATCATTTGCAACATGTGATTGTTCTTCTTTATGCTTTAGGCCAATTCACTTGATGTTTCATATACAAACATAAAGAAAAACCTTGAGGCAGCACTGATTACAATTGATGATATTCTTTAAGCTGCCTTGAAGCATAGCACCAATATAGAAATTGGGATCTAAAGGTAAAACTAATATGCGTAACACTTTGCACTGAAATAAAATGTTTGTACAACAGAAGAATCTATCACCATTAGTTTCCTTACATTATTAAAGACCCCCATTCCACATGCATTCAAAATAAAGATTTTTCTTTTAGAAGCTGCACTTTGCTTCTTCAAGAAATGGAGAGTTGCAAATAATTTTGAAGTGGCAATATTCCCCTGGTTGAAACCATTAGTTCGTGAGTCACTCTCAACAAAAGAAACAATTTGTTAAAATTAACTATTTTCTGCAACATAACCAGGAACTCAGACTCCTGGGTATTCTCACCGTGATTACAGGGAAGAATGGTAAGGGTTTGGGAATGCCAAAAAAGCAGAAAACTTTGTGCACTCTCACTGTAGTCTGTGCATCTTAAATATAGACACCTGTTCAAGTACTTGGACAACTTCAACATACTCCTTTGGACCTTTCAAAGTGTATCTCATCAACTCCAAACACAATCTACTGGGTTTGTATTAATATGAAGAGCTTCGTTTTGCCTACTTCTCCAGCTCTTTAGATCCTGTGACCTTGTCTTAAAAAGCTGTAAAATGCCCTTCAAAATTAATGATACCTTACACTGATTCTTTGTAACTGGCAGGACTTGAAATCCAAGATACAGACACAGAGCTGGGATCTGTTCCTTCTCTATCACAGTAAAGGACAAATATAATAGATTATAAGCACCACAGACTCTTCTGGTTTTCAACTGGCATAAGGTCCTTCATTATGAAAGAAACATGGTTTGGAAATAAATAGGGAGAAAACAACGTCTGATTTTCATTCCAGTGTTCACTATATTTGTTTCTTGCCAATTGAAAAGGACATTTGTTCACAAATGTAGAAAATACTTGCTTGATGCTCTTCACATTATGGGTCAATTACTAAGGTTCTGGTTCAGTTTTGACCTGAAATCTAATTTGCTTCTGAAGACAGCGCAGAGATGGTTCATCCCTCCTTAGAAGTATCAGTGTTCTAAACACACCCTTTGCTTTACTGGTCTTTCACAGGATGACATGCATCGTCGCTGTTTCTGTTTAGAAAATCAGATCAATATTAAATATTCTTGAGAAATACACTAATACTAGTAAGCACTAGATTATGCTGATCTTTACAGTGACAAACACAGCAGATGTAGCTTCATGTGAGCTTCTACATGTATCTTGTCAGTTGGGAGTGAGATCTTTACATAGGTAGAGAACACCTCTCAATTTCATGTAAAGACAATGAGAGTACAGGCATTTATTGCAAAACAGGATTAAGACTGTCCCAAACAGACATGCATTGCCCTGTTTACCTTATCACTAGTTAAACTTCTCTTCTTTTTTGGTTGGTTTGCTGGTAGTAGCACATGCAAGTCAGCAGCTGTGGGCAGACCAGGTTTCACAACTGTCATGAGTGTTTCTTCAGGTATATTGGTTTCCTGTGAAGACAACAAAGGCATATGACAAATTACAGGACAGCACACTTCGTGTTTTATATAAAACACATAAGTAACTTCACATGTGGCTTTTAAATTTGGTGTTCAGATCCCTAATACTTGGAAGGGATTCCACTAGAAGCTAAAGCATGAACAAAGTGAAGCATAAGTGTACTGAAATGAGAGCTGCTCTTTGAAGACTGGAAGAGCTAAGTGTTGTTTTCACATTAAAGTAATTCAGTGGCATCAAGAAAAGAAGCAAAATGAAGAGGTATGCAGGTTTTATCAAAACTCTGCAATGGCTAAGCATTTCTAGAGTAAGATAAAACAAAAATCCTAAGTGATTTAGGATTCTTTGCGGGCCATTCAGATACAGCGTAGACTTAGAAGGGCATATTACAGCTAACTCTAGCCTAGAAAGGTTACTTTTCCATCTGTGTTTTAGGGGCAGAGAGAAGTCTTCGAATGTGAGACTAGGAGCACCTAGGTTCAGTTCCTGAAATGGTAACAAATACCATCATTTCCCCATTGGAAGTCAGATGCATCACTTTTCAAAATATTTTGTCCAAATTTGGTTTTAGTCCCAAGTTCCTCCACATGTTGTACAATACAGCCACACAAATCTAATGACAACACTCTGGGCACTTGCCATAGCCTTCCTCAAACAGACTCAGAAATTCCATTAAATTTTCCATATGCTTTGGCAAATGTCTTAGTAATTCTTAAAATGCAAGGACTATTTTATAAGGGAGTAAAATATATTTTTGACTGACACTGGTTATGGAATGAGTTTAAGTTGATAAAAGTGAGAAATTAATTTGATGTTTGATATGAGCCTATAAAAAAAGGCAGGAAACTGTATAAAGTCAAAAATTTAGAACCTGACTTGCACTACTGCAAATCCAGGAAAAATAAAGTGATTTAAAATGCATATATTTTATAAACAATATCAATCTGTACCTCAATGCTACTGCCTTCACAAAAGCCAGCGTGTGCACCCTCAGTTGCTGGCAGGGTGCGTATGTGAAGAGCACAGCTCTCAAGTTCAAAGTTCTCATGAGGTGCTCTTTACTTATCTCACAGTACTACTGCAGAGCTTTGTATTTGATTTAACCTACAGGATTCAGCTATTCCCAATCCACACATCTTTTGTGAACATGATCTAAAAAATCAGCTGTACAAACTGTGTGCCTATATATTATATGTAATTTTCATAGTTACACAACTAGCATAATAAATTGTTCCTCTGTGCTTTGTTTTTACACAATGTCTTTTATGTTACAAAGCATCCTTTGCTTAGCTTCTAAATCTCTCACATTTAAGCTACTCTTCTTGTTTTGGAGTCAGCAGTATTTGCCAATATGTCTATTCCTAATCCCAGAGAGCAATATTTAGCATTAATTGCCAATTAGGCTGTGTTAGACCTAAACTGTCTACGTTACAATATCATTGTCTACAGCCTGCACGTAAAAGTGACACTAGGTTCAAACTTGCTTGAAATGTGGCTCATGAGGTTCACTTTATTATTTTGCTCTGCCTCCTTTTTTCTAAATGAGAAGGTATTAACTTAACCTTCAAGCTTTACGACTGGTGAGGGAACATTTTACGAGCAATCTGAAAGAGCACCTTTGCAAGAAGTCGTGTTACTACCCGCCCTATGTCTTCCCTCCACTCTGGTATGTCGGGGTTGTACATGTCCAGGTGTTTAGTAAACTTCAAAGGAAGAACATGAAAATGATCTAGAAAAAAAAAAAAGAAACATTTTGTAGAAGTAATAAACCAAGTTGCAAAAAGGGTTTTGTAGAACTAAAAGCTGAAAATCTATATTTAGCGTTTTTTGCTGTGCAGCACTGCATTATCTAGGACCCCCACTGCTCTATGTTGTCAGGCACTCAATTTCTCTCTGTATTTTCATCAACATGATCAAATTTATGCCTAAAGATTAAAAAGCAGTAAGAAAAAGAAATAAACAAAGGAGATTTACATACATGCTCTGGGGTCATATTGTTCCCAGTAATTTTCCCTTAGGTCAATAAGTCACACAGAAGTGATTGGTTTCTTTTATTTGAAATGAGAATGTGCCAATGGGTAGTATTCTTACCAAATCATAAATATGTGGGATTTTGCCCATTACATGTTCCTGTTTTCCATACAAAATGAATACCTCACATACTGCATAAACTAGATATGAAAATAAGAACAGAAATTATATTACAAATGCTAACCACTGCCCTCTTTGAAAAAATAAAACCATGGTACATCCACAACATTTCTCTGGATATTGTCAAAAATATCTGAAATACTAGAAATGGGTTGATCCTCAGAAAACAGTCTCTTAAAACCTTCCCTTTCTCCCTACGTGTTCCTTGGATAAACACTTGGGGAACTTAATGCAAAGAAGAAATAGAGATAGACTGGAATGGAGGAGTCAAACCTGCCTCCCCCAATACTTCAACAGAATTATATTTTAGTGTGGCTTTCTTTTCCAAAAGTTTCTTTATTTCTGTCATGGTCAGTACTTTTGTGCTCCTGATATCAGGACTGGTCAATAGTAAGAGCAAAAGGAGTGCTGGAAAGCCAAAGTCATTGATGTAGTCACACTAAGAGGGTTATACTTCTAAAGATTACAAAAAAAGCTGATGCACTTATACATAAGTGGTGGCATAAATGTTAAAACCATTTATCTTAGAAAAGGAGAAGATTCATAAAAGCTCCATTTAGCATAAGTGTGGTTTTTAACATTATTTTAAATTAATAAGCATACTAAAAGCAAAAATAACAGAATCTTCTCCAGACAATAGAGATGTTGTGTATTGCATGATATCAGAAGGTTTCTAGCTCTGCATTCAGAAGAAGTTTTTATACTTATCGCAATTCCCACATGCGACAACACAAATACAAATGTAAATAATTTGCCAGCTCTACATTTTCGACAGTATATTATGCCTTGTCACCACATTATAAGACAAAAAAAACCACCAGGGCACAGTGTGGAACAAGAACTGAAGGGTTATTCAATACTTACAGCAGAGCTATTCTTGATCCAAACTCTCAGATAAACATCAAAGGTACAGTGACATATTGTGATAAAAGGCAATTATTTGACATTGTTTTCAATGCTGAGAGCACATACTCAACTAAATTTTCATTTTTTTCAGAGGCATTTAAACTAATTTATTTAGAAATTCTGGGAAAGTTTCTTGTTTTAGGCCAAAATACTACTTAAACACTGTTGCCATTTATAGCATTTGAGAACCACAGTACCATTTAAAATAAGAAGAGGAAACAAAATGTTTCAGATTAAACCCTTCCACACAATCCCACTGTTCACTTCATGGAGTTACCTTGTGGCAGTTCATCCCTATAATTTTAAGAGTTAAATGTGGCATTAGATGTAATTTTACAACAGGTTCAGTTGTACCAGGACTGGTTTAAGATGTACAATAACAAGTACATATGAAACAAAAAAAATGAAAAAGACTAATGACTCACCAAAAACATGGACAACTTTTGAGTCCTGAAGCATGGAGCTCCCACAGGAAACTTGCACTGTAACTCGGACATCACCTGTCTCAGCAAACTTGGTCACCAGAAAACTCTCCAATGTAAGCAGTGGCTTTAAAAAACAAAGAAAATTTGAAAACATAATTTGAGCAAGAGCCACAAGAACAGTGTCTGAAGAGGTTGTAACTAAAATATCAGCAAAAAGTTTTCACATCAATTTTCAATTAATCAATATTTTATCAAATTGTTCAACAAAAATTTTCAATACAGGATGTTTCTTTCCCTAAATGGATCTTTTATAAACAGAAAAGCAGCCAGATGGGGCAAATATTTCTTCTAGAATAATCGGTAGAGTATTAGGGTTTCAGCCAGATCCACCAAAACAAAAGGATTTTGAGGCAGATTCAACAAACTCCACAAGATTATATGAAGCAAGTCAGTTGCCTCAAAAAAATGTGGGGTACATCAGGGTCAAAAGGATTAACACTGTCAACTTAGAGTACCAGTCCACACTAAGCTCCAAGGCAGAGCTGAGGTACTCTGCTCCCTGACCACATCCATATGAATTACAAAACCTTTCACAAGATTACGTGGACCTACAGTACCTGTTCTAGCAATGGCAAAGTCAATAAAAATGAACAGATACAGGCTGGTTTTATGGTAGACAGCACACTTACAAGAAGAAAGTTCACTGCACCTATTTGAAGCATTCCTCTGCCTCATAAAGAAAATATTTTGCTTATCTGTTATTGAAAGAATTACCTTAAAAGAAATTAACCTAGTTAGACAATAAATATTGCCAATAGAAATACTGGGATATTTATTGCTCTAGGACACGTTTATCTAGACCTTGATCCCCAAATGAATATCACAAAATTGTTTGAGTGCTCTCAATGTTTTGATATCCTTTAAGATATCCCATTTTTTTAATATGCCAGTTTATTTTAGACTCACAGAAAATATTTATCTATACAATGAATATATATATTTCTGTACAGTACTTTAATTTACAGTACTCACATTATCAATTTAGAAGCGTATAAATCCAAGTTTCATCAAGCACCAATGTCATGATCCCAAATCCATCCCCGTCTACAAGTTGTTTTTTTCACAAGTAATCAAATACAATAAATTTTTGTGTGTCCCCCCGAGAAAATAGTTTAGAAATTGAAAGAAAGGAACAACCTTTATTGGAAAGAGATTGAAAATAATCTCAGTCAAAACCATTTGTGTACCTGAAGATTGTTTCCTATCCACCAGTAGAAAACTGTCAAATTAGGGTTCTTAGGCAGTATGATGGCTGTCAGGTTCACCTCCTGGTTTCTTCCAATGACTGGAACCACTTCTAAGTTTAAAGCCTGGAGTGGAGCTGAACAAAGTTCCCAGAATATCACTGAACAAGAATCCATCAGTTTATTAATGCCTGTTTCCCCAAAAGCCTCTCACCTGCACATCATCAGGTCCTGAATTTTTTTTTCCCCTCCCTTCTGCTTTTACATCCATGTCAAAAGATATGGACATAATTGGAAGGACCTCATTTCAACAAAAAAATATCCCCCAAATCATCTCAAAATCTCAGAAACAAAATCTTAAGCAATGAGACGGATCAACCAAATGCACTTCTCTGATGCATGTTTTTTTTGTGCATTTCCAATCCTAGAACACATAAGCAGATACTCAGTTAAAAAGTGGAAAAGGCAATCTCAGCTTGGTTTTTTTTTTTTTTTAGTAAAAAAAGATCAAATGAATAGAAATCTAACAAATCTCAAATTGCTAAGGGAAAAGCAGAAAACTAAAAAAGAATGCTGCTGACTACTCATTTTCATTATAAAAAATCAGCTGTTAGGCTCACACCACACAGAAACTCTCATTAATGCATGCTTTAAAATAGATGTGTATATCAGGGGAGCATTTATTTGCAAATCAAAATAGGATAACCTCTGTACTCCAAAATGTGCCTTAGAGTAAGTTTATTCCTTTCTGAACTTTTGCCTATGAAGGCTGTAAGCACTATTATTTGTATAAAAGAAACGCATCATTATGGTGGTTTTATCTGCTTCTAAGTGTTGTGTTTATTAGTGTTGTGCTGCTTCACAGTACAGTAACTGTATTAAAAAAACCCTTTCCCTCAGAGGTTTTTGAGTATATCTTTTTCAGAATGCATTAAGGTAAAAGCTCTATAACAGTATAATGTTATAACTAGAATTTTTTAACTCCACCTGCACCATCTACCCAGGATACTAAAACGCTATATGGTCCAACATTCATTCATTACACAGAATGAATATTAACCCATCCATTTTTGTTCCATTCTACGTATTTTTTAACTCAGTCAAAGATTTTTCATCTCAGTGCAAACTTACAGGTAGTTAACACTGGTCTAAAGTATCTCTCTTGCTCTGTGTCAGGAGCTGAATCACTGCTAATTCACTTTGATTAAACTGATTGAAATTCTCTGAAAACAAGTTGTCTGACCTCCTTTTCCACCTCACTTCACATAGTCTGTGTGCTCCTTCATCACAATGTAAGACTCTACTTTCACTCTGTATTTTCTACAATGACTCTTAAATCACCTACATGAATTCAAGCCATGTTGGGTGCTTAAACAAATGATTTCTTCACTAGCTTCCAGAGGAGTTAAAATGTTTCTCCCTGTTGCTGGTATCTTGAAGAAAATTCAGAAATTTTAGTAATTTCACTAAATTTGTTCCTTGTAGAAACAGAATTTCCTTCTGATGAGGTAAAATAAAGAAGTCTGGAGGGATCTGTGAAACTGTTTTGATTTTGCCATAAATTTGCATTTTCCCAGAGGAAACTGATCATTTTGAGATATGTTTTTGCTCCTGAAGAAGGTTGCTTTCTTTTCCAAAATTTTTAAGAGTAAGTTGTTTGGTACTTGAGTGATGACTGCTATTTCAGTCTTACTGCTCCTATATATTAAAGAGCTGAGAATAATTATTGCAAGTCCTCCTGCTTGTGTCTGGCACACAAGTCCATAATGCATGGGAACAAGCCTCATAGCACCCTTAAATGTGTAATATGAGGAATTAATTGACTTAAATTATTTTTGATTATTTAACAAAGTTATAATTTCCATATAGTTTCCATACATTTTTCCAAGTTCCCTTATTATTCACTTACTATAAAGATCACAGTTTCATAAAAACCAAAATGTGTGCAGTGTATATAGCAATGTATGTAGCTCTTCTTCGGGTCTTTTTATTATGAGTTGCCTACTCACATTTATGCTATCGGACTTCATTTCTCTTACAGTTCATTAGAAAGTTGTAGATTGTGTGATCTGGATCAGAAAGCATGATTTGGATGAAAAGCCAAAATTTATATAATTGTCCTGCATCCCATAGCAACAGAACTCTGAAGTGAAAAATATTCCCTTTAATATTTGCCTCTGAAAAAATTCCCTGAGAATAATACATCAGCCAGAGATAGAGTGAAAGCAGGACTCTGTGGACATTTCTGCTTTCATGGTATTCCACAGTGAAAATGTTCCTTAATGGCTATTAGTGCTTCACTAGAACATAGAAATTGCAGTACAATTTTTTAGGTAAATTAGAAGATTCAAGTAAATTTGTTGGCACTAATTAAAGAGAGCAAATCACATAGAAAGCATTTATTCAAGAAGGCTGGGTAACACACTTCCATGAGCCTTCTAGTCCCTGTGCAGCAACCACGGACAAGCTCAGGATGAGATCACATCTGCCTCAGTGCTCTGCTGCCTCTGTACTTCAGCACCAAAACTCCTTTAATTGACCAGTCATTTACTTGTAGAAAGTAACTCTGGCTTCTGCAATTTGAAAATCCACTGCATAAAACAAAATCGACATCTTTTATTTTTACTGTTTATCCTAATACAGGTCACACTAAAAGCACATTTTGAGAAAGTGTTTGTTCCACTTTCCATCAGGGCTTGCTACTACTCATCATTCTCTGAAGGGTTAGAAGTTATTCTCAAAGAGAAGGATGTCACACCGAGTTTTTTTCCTCTTCATTGCCTGTACAGACTGTTTCTCTGGTTAATCTACTCCTCAGCAGCTAGAAGCTTCTAAACAGTAACAGTGAAGTCCTAAGTAATTTACCTGAGCTCTCTGGGGTTGTCAAATGATTTAAAAAATAAACACAACAAAGAAACAGATAATGAAACTGAAGCTGAGAATTTGACTGTGATCCTTTCTGTTTGATTTTATTAGAAGATTGGCCATTAGTATGAATGGGCCCCACCTGTCAATCAAAGTAGAACTGGAAACTCTGGACTCAAGGACACTGACCAGCAAAATACATAAATATCAAGCTGACATAAAGCACATGGATCTGTGCACATCCGTGTATATGGCTCCAGTGATTTCCATTGCTTTGGGATTAGGATGGAAGACACACCACTCAGAACAGACGGGAAACAGACACCTGGAGAATGCAAGATGAGTATCTTTTCCTTTGATGTTACTCGCTTCTGAATTTTTGACACATCTGAAAACAGGTGAAGCAATAGCTGCCTTGAATCTCAAAGAAAGAGGAATATTCAGTTCCAGTTTTGAGTTTCCCTCTTCATTTCAGTTATGAGATGACTGAGGTACATTAAACTTGCAATGGTGCATGACATTCCCTGTGCCATGATATTCTTTATTTTATATCTGTTTGATTGGGTATTTTAGGTCTTAATTAAGGAGAGGGAGAGCAGTCTAAGCCAAGGGATACTTCCTGCCAACACAAAGATATATCCAAGTACTATTTAAAATTCTATGAGAATTAACTAACTAAAATCTAGATTTAGAAACACTGAGATTTTTAGTATTTTTCAAAATCATACAAAAGCTCATATGTTTCTCAACACACCTGTTCACTTGCTTTACATTACACCTAGAAGCTTTAAAAAGATATAGTGTTAAATTTTGGCTGCTAAGGCTGCGAACAGGGTCTTGCATCAGGAAGATGGATAAAACCTGAGATTTGAACTGAGGCATACTTGTTATTTAAAAGATTAAACCATCCTTCTGCCAAATTGGAACAAAACTAATTCTGATCTCCTATTACATTAGGTTTACAAGCCTCTGAATTCAAAACATACAACACTGCAAGGTTGCATGAGGGTGTTGAAAAAATATGCCTTTTCCTAATTGCGACTAGTAATTTTCTTTACTACTTCATAGCTGTCATGAGGTTTTTACACAGTGGTAGAAGTAAGAAAAGCAAAGAGATGATTTACAGTTGACTTGGATGAACACCACAGCCTCATCATGCCCAGCCACATTCTCAGCCTTCACTGACACACGGTAAATCCCAGGATTCTCATAGCGGTGACGGATGGGTTCTCCAGTCATCGTAAGGTTCACATATATCGCCTTAAAGCCATCTCCAAGATCTACCTGGTATTTGGTACTCAATATATCACCCTAAAAGGAAAATATATCAAAAACATTTTAAATGGCCAGAACCAAAACAGACAGGACACATGTTTATAACCCTTTACTGAATCACAGCAGCATTTTCAGCCCCTGCCAGACATTTTGACTCAATTGCAATAGCTGCAGTAAAACCACTACAACCCATGGCAACGATGTTAGTGCAACAGATGCTGTGTGCATTAATAGAGATAATACCAAATTTCCACAGTAAGGTGCTACCTTAAAATTAGACACCTCAGACCACTAAACAAGTTGTATGGCACAGAAACTATCATTCTTGTCTTAATGCAGGTGGACATTAACTAACATAATGGTGCGATGCTCATATCATTGCAAGCCACTGAAGATTGTTATTTTAGCAAATTACTACTCATTCAGTGAACTTTTAGCCTTTCCAATTATAAAGCAAAATTAATTGGCTTAGGCATTCTTCAGAGCACCTTCTAAGCACAGCCTCTTAGTGTCAATTACATGGCCTTTAAGACCCAAGCTGGGATCTTCACACAGGGGTGTACAGCATTATACTGAGCCACCAAGCATGTCTAGAACTACCATGCTCTAGTGCAAAATTAGTGCATGTTTAATGAAGCAGATTACCAAGCTGGGTTTGGGAAAGGGTTTAAAAGTCCAGCCAAATAATTCTGTCATATCAAACATCTCATTGAATCCATAATTCCTCGCACTTCTGCCAAGTGCTCCTTTAAATTACACCGTCTTCCTAAACTCAGGCCTAAAGGACTGTAAAGCTGATAATACTGTCAGAGGACAAACATGACTATTACTTATGTTGTCGTGGTGTGGCTGCTCAGGAGAGAAATCAGGCCTGTGCTACATGGACTAGAGATTTGGATGCAGTGAAAGGAAAATTCATTTTAGCTGTTAGCAGTAATACTTTCTCAATACTACTGGCAGCACTGCCTTGGTGAGCTGCCCTGCTTCCTTGATCTCCAGCAGTACTTATGTTCCTGCTTGTTTGCCATCACAGCCATGCAATTAAGACAGTCTACAGAGCCAGGCTTCATAGAAAAGCCTCTGTGTTGTGAAAACACAGTATTGACTTAAAAAATTTCATTGCCTCTGGGAAAGGAATGTATACACCCGTGTGCTGGTCAAGTGACAGGAAAAGCCATCAGAGCAGAGAAGGATTGACATCAATAGAAGTATTCAAAAATCACTCCACTTCTCCAAAAGCCACTCTGAAATAGGTTTATTCCAAAATTTAATCTCAAAAGGAAGCATTAATGTAATTTTTTTCAAAATGGCAACAATCAGCCATTGGAATAATCTCCCCAGGAAACTGGTGGATTCTCCACAGTTGGACACTTCAGATTCAGCAGCACAGGTGCTGACCATCTTGTCTAGGCTGTGCTTTTGCCAAGACAGGTTGGACCAGATGATCATCGAGGTCCCTTCCAACCTGGCAGTCTATAATTCTATGATTCTTTGAAAATCAAAGGAGGTACCAAGCCTAGAATTTATGTTCTCTGGCATTACAGAAGGAAGGGAAACATACTATTATTTCTTCCTTTTGTTATTTGGCAGTGTGGTTGATTTTCTTCCATGTTTTATCAGATGAAAGAACGTTGCTTACAATGTAAAAGAACACCCATAATAAGGAACCTGTAGGATTATCAAATACCTAAGCACCATATTTCAAGACACAAAAAGGACCTTAAAAGCCTCTTCACTGTGAATAGTTTTTTCTTTCTTTTGACAACAGAATAGTAGAATTTAGTAGAAGAGAGAATATATTATTACAGTTTAAAGCAGAAGAGATACGTTCTTGCCAGCAGTGTAAGTGGAATCTCTTTAGATGACATTAGCTTGCAAAGACTTCTTGTTCTCTCTTTCTTATGCTAACAAGTACACGTGTGTTTTTTCCAGATGAGACAGAAACCAGTGTTAAAAGCCAATATATGCAAGCTTCTCTTACTATATTATTCTAAATAGCTTCCCTAGTGTAAGGATGAGAGTGGTGTATTCAAAACAACAAGATATTTCTATTTTCCAGACCAATAAACAAAGAGAGCAGTGGACAGAAAACAAAAGAGTCACATAAATCAGCTAAATTTATAAGAAGTTGGGGCTTCCACTTCCATAAAAAATAGGAGATGGTCATGATATTATTTATTCATATATTCAGCCAACAGACTATGGAAAAAAATTATCATCATCATCATTATTGCTATTATTTCTAAGGACACTTGAAAACTGCCCAAGCATAACAGAAGCATGCTTTCTTTACTCTCTGATGTCTGGCATTTCTGCATTCCCAGAAACTAGTAAATTAATTTTGTTCATTGGAGAAAGTAGTATGTTTTGGTTTACTGTAGTAGAGCTGTTTCTTAAACTCACTAATTGTTATGAATCCTCATTGGATTTTGTCATATAGATTAAATCCTAAGAAACGCTCAGGACATTTGAGTTTAAATATTATTCTTAGCCATAGAGGGCACCAAACTGCTACAGTGCTTCTAAATCTGCCTTCCTCTTTGATGAACAGAGCACAGACTTCACCAGGAAATACAGCACGAGATTGTCTTCAAGATCCCTCACTTCTGAAGATTTGTGAATAACTTTAAATGGTTTTCATATTGCCACAGAGATTCATGAAAGCTTCAGTAGGAAAAAAGTCAAACTGCCAATCAAAATCATTAGAATCCAAATTGCAACCAAATGCTCTGGGCTTACAATAAACATTTCCAAACAAATTCTAGAAAGAGGAGGCAGCAGAACTTGCCACACAAACTGTTGGGGCACTGCACACATTGGGATGCAGAGCCTGAGAAGCATTAAGCAGCCCAGTGCTCTGCACGTAACTTTCTTGATTCCATTACAGAAATAAATCCCAAATGTTCAATTTATATTGCACAGGTTTGCCAAAATGTGTGAATTTTCTTCAAATTCTTGCAAATCAGTCGGGTTAGCCAGGATGTACAAATACTCTGGTAACCTGAGCACAGTAGTTATAGCCTAATGCTAAAAAACAAGCATGAGGAAACATACCCATGGCAAACAATTCATCCAGCAGTTACTCACTGCTGTTGGTCAGGGCCTTAGGGCTTTGCCTCTCTCAATAAAAAGAAAATTCCCCATATCTTTGGCAACACAACTAATATATAATAAATATTCTTATGCTGTGCTATTTGCTGATTTCTGTAAAGCTTTGCCTCATTCCTTTCTGAAAGGCAGACTCTCAAAAACACTTAAACCCGAATATTAAATGTTCTCTGCATTTCTGTTCTTCTCTGATACAACAGCTGAGATTTTCAGTCCAAGGAGACTTTGGTAATCCAGTTGCTTTGATTTTCCAAGAAGCTATTGCCTTTGCTGCTGAGGACACAAATCCTGTTCTGTGGGTAGAACTTGGAGATTCACTGAGTTTACTGTCTTGTCTGATTCACTTGAAAACAGAAGTTTCAATATTTCCAAATCCATTAATCCTTGTCTCAAGCACAAATTAATCTTCATTCAGCAGCAAAGCAGGTAGGAGTGAAATTAACCCTAAAAGCAGCAATTAAACTTTCATGGAGCCAATGTTTATTACTACCTGCTCTTGTCTGACAATGAAGGTGATGTCTTCCCCGGGCCTAACAGCCAGGCTTTCTTCTCTGATGCTGATCTGAAGTCCCTTGGGAGCGATCAATGGACACATATGCTGTGCTACATTCTGCTGCAGGTCTACGCCACCTTCACACACATTAGAGACAACTTTCCTGTACCTGCAAAAACAGTAAGCAGTGAACATAATGAACTGGAGGTAAGCAAAAGAATGCCATCAGAGACACCAAATGCAAGTGTGATTGAGCTAATGCATTTTCCTTGGGTACACAGACAAGATTGCAGATGATCAAAACCAACTCGCAACGCAAGTACTTGGATTGGGGACACTGCCTTTACTAAGGAAAACCCATTGAAGAAGGGTGGTGTGGAGCATGATGAGGATTTCACTTGAATGCATTAGAAGAGTCTGTCTTTTCAAACTTAGAAATGTGCCTGACTATCTCCAGGAGATAGACAGTCTTCTGTCCTCCTTGCCATCCCCTTTCCTAGCACTCTGAACAGTCTTCGTTGCTCTAGAGGTTTTGGTTCAAACCCCAAAGATCAGGAAGAAATTAGACCAAGCAGCTTCTGCATTAACCCAGAACTAACTGCTTAACTGCTGCACTAAAATCAATTAATTTCTTAAAAGACTTGTGACATTTGTGTAACATAACAGTATAAAAGATTGAAAGAAGTAACACTTTTAAAGAGCTAATAATGAAATACTTGGGCGCGTACAGTAATTATTTACAGATCAGTTTCACACAGGTATGCGATTTTTAAACGTCCTTTAAAATCAGTCATATGCCACTCTTTTGAATTCCCGCTCTGTATATCACAGCTGTCAGCCGCAACCCAAAAGGCATCATTTTCCTCGGTAAGGCAAATATACACAGAGACTGTGATTCTATTGCCAGATTGGACATTTCATCATTTGGTTCTCATCTCTACAACTGACTGAGATGGTGTTATGATAAGCCAGAATAGATGCCAGCTGCAAGTTATTCTCAGCACAGACGTCAGACTACATTGTAGTGTATATCCTATGTGGTATTGTTTACAGTTACTAACGCTTTCCTTTGATTCTGAGTGTCCCATATGGTCAGGAAAAAAAAATTATTCTTCGCAGAACTTACTCTTATGAAAATGAGAGACTGGGAAATTTTGTGAGATGTTACCAGGTCCTCAGAGTAATTTATTAGATCCAAACTGAAAATTGCTCTGGACCTAAGCAATGAGCTAAAAGAAAAGGCTTTGAATGGATATTTCTATCAGAAGTGTAAAAATGGCTACAGAATGTTACCAAAAAAAATTAAAATGCTGCAAACAAGACAGTTTCCCCTCTTCTTGAACAGTTTTTCAACCACTGGCAACATGCAAAGGAACAATTATCTTCTCTTAATTTGTAGGAAGCTTCTGCACATGCACTAAGTCAGTCACAGTTTTTGCATTTCCCAGGTTTTACAGTTTGCCTTATTTACATTTCATAGAATCACAGACTGGTTTGGGTTGGAAGGGACCTTCAAGATCTTCTAGTTCCAACACCCAAGGAACATATTCCACTAAACCAAGTTGCTCAAAGTCTCACCCAACCAGGACTTCCACACTTTCAGGGAACAACTGCACAAGTTGTTCAGTGTCTCACCACCCTCTCAGTAAAGAATTTCTTCCTAATATCTAATCTCAACCTATCCTGCTTCATCTGTAGGCCATTCCCACTTGACCTATCACTACATGCCCTTGTAAAAAGTCCCTCTCTAGCTCTCTTATAGGCTCCCCTTAGGTATTGAAATGTGAATTTCTTTCAAACCACTTTTGAGGCCTCTGGTTGGAATATTCTCCCCCTCTTTGGAAGCCTCATCAAGCCAGTTGAATACAAAACCAGCTTACCCAGTGCTGCTGGTGTATGCCTGCCCCAGCACACAGTCTTCAGGCGGTGCTTCTGGGTTAAACCAAAAGTCAGCAAAGCATTTGTTAGTCTCCGACTTCAGAAGTGCAGAGCGCTCAAACCCATAATCACTGAAAAACATCAACACCAAGTGTGTTACTATCCCCACTTCACTCAGCAGTCTAATTTGGCGTAGATGAGACTACATTTTTAAGAGTAAATAATTTTTTATAGTGTTATTCTACCAGATGAACATACAAGTTGATGAAGCCAGTTCTGTTTTAAGTCTAATTTCAGTGGGAGTTGTGTACACTTCAGGGAAAAACTGGTTGTAATTACTTTGTCAGTTCTGCAAAATTAACTCCCATGGTACCTTAGATCTTTTAAAGGTTTCCTTTGCCACTCAGACCAAACATTTCCTTGCTTTTTTTTTTTTTTTATTTGCAAATAGAAAGGGTTTGTTTGCCTTTTAAATTAATCCAGTGGTCATTTTTCAAGCCTTGATCAATAGAGAAAAACATCAGGATTTGTTCAGGAAGGTGAAACACGTATTTAAACATGGCAATATTTTTAACAAATGCAAAAGAAACCTGCTATTCAAATAACAGTTTACCTATTTATTTATATATGGTTATGTGGGGAGAGGGGAAAAAGGAGTAAAATAAACCCATCTCAAACTATTTACTAGCAATAAATCAAAAGGTCCACAGACAGACTCACCATAAGAAATCAGAGTTCACACATTCACAAACTTTGGATGTGAGAGCTGATGTGAAACTTCTCCCTTTAATGCACCATGATGAAATCTTCCTCTTTCGAAAGCTTCTCTGCTGGCCCATGATGCAACGATCACCCTGGATATCAAAGCACTGGACTTACTGCACCGTAACCTATACCACACACACGTGACCTTATGTTGTCCTGAGAAAGGCTGATCTTGCTGCCAAGAACTTGTATCACCTCTCTCATTTTCAAATATATAGGTATAGATAGCTCTCATATTCACTGCTGTCTGCTAACAGGTCATTACAAAGTTGTAACATGGGTTGTATTTCCCAGGGCAAAAATCTGAAGATGTACATGAAAATTCAAGTGCAATCTAACCCATGTTTCATGGGTACACAATCTAGGCACAAAGCTCCAACTGGCCATTTAAATATTCAGTGTGACTGCACATAGTCGAAGTTCTCTCTAAATCACCATATCTCATGTCGGCAGCCAACCTGATGTACCAAGCATGTGGACACAGGTAGAATGAAGGCTATCTTTACAAGCTCCACTGGTAATTGGGCATCTGCAAGTACTCTATCAAAGTCATTTTAGTAGTTTCTAATTTCTGAAAGACATTTCGATGCCAATATCCCAAAATACTGTTACTCTTTAGGCTCAGATCTGCATAATATTCTCAGTAAACACACAGCAGTCCCAAACAAGAAGTGTAAAATTAGGCATGAGAACTGGCAAATGGGAGCAGTAGAGCTGGAGTAACACAGAGTAGTATGCAAAAAATAAACCAACCCTGCAGAGAGCAAAAGAACAAATGTACTGGAAGAAGCAAAACATAATAATCCGAATGATTATGGATAAATATGACATATTCCATTTAATTAAAAAAAAACCCTCAGATTTGCCTCTTCAATCAATACATTGCAGAGACAATTTAACTTCCCAAAATTGGATTTGGCCAGAGCACCAGGATTAGCACAGCCTTAATGCATTACTGCAGAAATGGCATTGCCCAAAACAACTGGACTCCGTTACATGATTGGCCCACGGAGATCCTAAATTACTTCTGGAATGGACTGTACTTATGGCAATTTATATATGAGTACAGTATGTGGTCAGGAAGTTGGCAGAACACATGACTGCATGTTGAAATTGTTTGAATCAATATTACACACTTCAGTTTATGGTATATGCTTCCCAGTCTAGCAGGACCACCTATTATTATGGCAACCCAGCAGATATACTCCCACCTTTCCTAGGACACAGATTACACAACCAAAGTGAACACAAAATCCTCTCCCATTTTAAACTATTGCGAAATCAGCAAATATCAACATAAGGAGACTAAGCCGGGGATGTGGCATCCAAATTCAATTTGGAAACATTTTCCTAGCACACAGTTCTATATGAATCTGAAAGCTACGGAAAAGTTTTGTCAGTTAACATAAGACCACAAATACCTGCAGATTTGTGAGCTCCCAAGACTCATAGTCATCATCAGTGCACTCCCTGGGGAAGGATGGTCTGAAGTCCACCTTCACCAGTTCCCAGTCCGAACGGTAGCTAATATGTCCAAAGACTCTGAACAAAAAGATCATAAGTAAACTCTTACTGCAAAGAAATACTATACATCTGAGATTCAAAATTTCAGTTCCATCTTTTCCACCGTCATAGTTCTGTGTTTAAAGGTCCCAGTTTAATTTTTCTTCTGCTTTTATTCCTCTTTATGTATAAAGAGTCTAGTTAGGAAACATTTGTCAATTGCGTATGAAACTTTTCAATGAAAAAGATATATCTCGTGTATCAGAGATTTTTTTCTCTAGCCCAGAAATTTAATTGGAAATAACCTTTTCTAATTTGGAACCCAACATTTTTGTCTATTATCTTGCTATATGAAACACACAGCTCTCAGATTTCAACAGGAAGCAGAACTAGGACCACTAGATTGAATTTCCAGCTCTGTCACTCATTCCTTGAGATTATACTACAATTTCTTCAGTTGGTTTTGTTGTGGGTTTTTTTGTTAATTTCTACAGGTTTTAGATAGCAATTTGCTATTGTTTAAAGTCACAGCAGTATAACGAAATTGTATCAATTTCTAAGGAATACACTGCACCTACAGACTGTACTGAAGAACTCAGAGTCTCCTCTTCATTTCAGATAGTCCCTTGTACAGCAAAAACCAAAAACCAGCCATAAACTGTACAATTTTTTTAGGGGAAAAAAAAAAAAGGAGATCTCATTGCTTTAAAAACCAAGCTGCATTTTCAACGCAGCCAATATTTTCTAAATCGGAATCTTTATTTCCAAAACAAAATGGGTATGTATGACATCCAGCAACAAATTAGAAAGGATAAAGACTCTATTTGGGCAAAAGTAAAATGTATTTGTGGTTTGTATCAGGCTTATGTGACTTACTTGCCAAAGAATTTAAGGTTGATTCTGAAGCCAACAATTTCTATGCAGTTCATACTGCACAGAGTTCATATTCCAAGCTTTAGTAGCGTTCTCCAAACTAATTCATTCCTTTTGTTTTGCCCTCAGTTTTGTCCAAATTCAGACATAGCAGGAATGGTACAGTTTTGTTAAAAGCCTTCTGCAGTGCACAGACATTTCTCTTGTCCTGAATACCAGGTTCAAAGTGGAACTAGGGTAGACCAGAAGTGAGTGAATGCTCAACTCTCTGCAGCACAGAGGCAACATCATCACACTAAGCATTTCTTCTGGTAAATGGACGTAGAGCTCTGAAGTCTACCAATGAGGCTGAAAAGTAGTTCAGAGAGATTAAAGATGTACAGCGATTTCTCCCCTTCCTTTCTGGTGTCTTTGTTTCTCATCCGTAGCAGAGAGATGTAGATATCGATACGTTATTGCCCACACTGCTCACACTGTAAGGACCTAACAAGCCACATGCATAGGAAACCACACCATCAGCAGTGCACTTAATGAAACAGAAACATATGCATTTAGTTTGTATATCTTACTCTTTTCTTGTAAGGCTCTGAGATTAAAGGAGCTGGATCACCTAATTTCTTCTAAATGCACCCATGGTTCAGAAGTAGAAGCAACACACGAAAATTAAAAAATGTGGCTCGGTCTACTGGCTGTATGTGCACACAGGTGTGTGGTCCCACATCTCTCATTGAGACCTCAGGATTTGGTTCCTTTTTCTGGTTCAGCTGGATCCTGAGAGCTGCTGTCACCATATAATCTTATTCATTGGTAGTTATATACTCAATAAAGTGACTACTTAGGTGGTCTCATGCTTTTTCCACAACACGTTTCAATATGACTGGTTTTGCTGACAGACATGAATGTCTTTTGCATGCTAAATACCTGTACCTCTATTTTAAAATCTTTGTTTCTCCATACGAGGTACTACCATAAAGCAGACTTCGCCATGTGCTTATGCAACACCTGTCTACCTCTGTGGTAGGTGCAATACCTACCTCAGTGAATGCTTCTCTAGACACCACAAAACTTTACAAATCTATTACATTTCTTTTACTAACCCATTTATCAACTAATATGTTCAAGTGCAAGGAGCCAAGTCCTGTTAAAGTTTCACTCCTGCCTCAAGGAAAGTATTTTCCACAGAACAAATCAAATTTTCTTCATTCGTGTTAGCTATCTCAGGCAGATTAGTCAGGAAAGGAGAAGAAAGGAGATGGTGGTTTGAGTTCAAGGCAGAACAGAATAATGAAATTTTCCTGAAAGCATAAAACATAATCTCTGAACTATTATTAATTACATTTCCAATCTCATGAGGATGATTCCAAATGACTATGGCAAGGGACACACGTTAACTATATGTATAAATACAGACACACACACACACGTGTGTGTGTGTGTATGTGCATATATAACCAGAGATATGAAACAGCAAAATGAAGCTCAGAGAGTTACAGCATTAATTTTGATATCCACAAAGATACCAAACCAGTTATTGAGCTATCTACTTCTAAGCACCTTGGAGATAATTAAAATGATAACAAACAGCTACCATGGATTTGTCAAAACCAAATCATGTCAAACTAATGTAATTTCCTCCTTTTACAGGGTAACTGGCTTAGCAGATAAAGGAAAGGAGAAAATCTAGCATATTCTGACCTTTGTTAAAATTGTTATACATTTCTAGCTGACATTGTCTCAATATAGAAGAGAAAGCATCAGTGCAGATAGAATCACTGTGAGGAGGAATGGGAGTACATATCCAATTAGAAGAATCCATTTTCAAAAGGTAGTTATCAAACAGGGAATATTTTGAGATATGTATCACAAAGATATGATGGGTCCACAGTCAATATTTTCATTAATACTCGTGAACAAATAAGAAACACAAAAAAATTTTGCAGATAACGCAGAAGGAAGGGAGTGGACATTGACTGATGGAAGCAATGTTCAGAAATCAATATGATGAAATACTCCAAAACCAAGTGCAAAAAGTACTTCAGGGGAAAAAAAAAACTAAACTCACAACAAAGGTGCAAAACCAAGACAGAAAATAACTTTCAAATATCGAAGAAAAGACTTGGGGAATTCTGGGAAATTAAACCAAGAATGCAGTGTTGCTGCAAAATAAGAAAGACTAATTCTAGATCGTATTCAGAAATGCAAAACAGAAGACGTGGAGATAATTATTTTTATAAACTTGGCAAAAGTGGAGCCTCTGGAAGAATATCATGTCTAATTTTGGATATTTTATGCATATTTACACACCCAATAAAAATGAATTTGAAGAGGGGCAAAATGATTCATAAGGTGCTTAGAAAATATAACCAATGATGAAAGATTGAGAGAATTGGGTTTTTCTCTGGAAAAGATAAAGTTGAGAAGTACAACAAAATGTTTTCAGTCTTATTATAGAGTGAAGAGCTGTCCTGGAGGAAGGGCAAGAAAGAGGAACTACAAGGATAAATAAACTTAAAAGATATAACTGCGCAATTCTCTAATTCCTTCTCCTCGGTATTGATGAGGCTACGTGTGGAGTACTGGGTCCAATTTTGGGCTCCCCAGAACAAGAGAGAGATGGAAAGACTGGAGGGAGTGCAACAAAAAGCTGTGAAGGTGATGAAGGGGCTGGAGCATCTCTCCTATGAGGAGAGGTTGAGAGAAGTGGGACTGTTCAGCCTGAAGAAGAGAAGGCTCAGGGACATCCACCAAAACCTGAAAGGAGGGTGCAAAGAAGATGGAGTCAGATTGTCTTCAGGGGTGCCCAGTGATAGGACTAGAGGTAACAGCCTCAAACTGAAACACGGGAGGTTTTCTCTGAACAACAAGAGGGTGTTCAAGTGAGGGTGATCAAGTACTGGCACAGGTGCCTAGAGAGGTTGTGGAGTCTCCATCCTTGGAGATATTCAAAAGCCATCTGGAAACCATCCTGTGTGATTGGCTCTGGGTGAGCAAAGGGATTGGACCAGGAGATCTCCTGAGGTCCCTTCCAACCTCAACAATTTTATGATTCTAGAATTCTATAGAGGTAATGGTACAAGATATTGGAGTTGTTTATTCCTCCTCACCAGAGTGAGAAATTATATACCATCAGAATTAGAGATAGACATTAGACCAACTGGACAGATATTGCCGAGTTCCAAATCCTATAATGATAGAAAAATTATAGAAATTATTCTAGAAATTATGCAAAATCTACCAGAGTAATATGGAAGCTACATGCAAACTATATGTGCACAAAGGAAAGGCACTGCTTCAATGGGTGAACTGTAACCTTCTCCTCTGTGGATTTTTAGCAGAAGATAGAAATAACTTTTACTGCCTGTTGGTCCAGCCTCCTGCAAAAACCCCCAAAATAACAAAAAACGTCATTTCCATTACGGCTGTTCTGATTCTACAGACTGAAAACAAGATTTTGACAGAGCACAGTAACTGCACCACTGCAAGTAAAATCCCAGAGATTCAAGGAAGTGTCCCACTACAGTCACAAACCACAATAAAAACGCAGTCCTACCGCTTTGTAATTCATAGGGCAAATTTCCTAAGGAATCCAGCGCTTTACATGCATCCAGTTTAGCAAACTGTTTGAAAAAAAAGCTTAATGATTATTGATGCTGTGCTGCAGTAGCACATGTTGCTCTATAGTTGACAGTTTTGCAGACACATCGGATGAGTGCATTTAAATGTATTGCTAAATATCACTAGAATAAAAAAGAAGCATTTTTTCAAAGTAACAAAGGCATGCATTAAGTAGAATACGATGGATTAGACAAAAATATGAACTACAATAAAGCAATACATAACAGCAATCACAATCTAATTGCTCAGGTGCAAAATATATATGTTGAATAAAATCATATGAATGGAACAAACTGGAATGGTTCAGCAAGTGTAACTGATGACTAGAAGTTATATATCAAGATGATAGTAATTCATAAGCTACTAAAACCTTCCTGTTGATTAATTGTATTACATTAGAAAGCCATCAAATCAATTCTGTTGAAACTATAAAGGATGATGCTGTGATAAATAATTTTTGGAAGAAATTACAATTACCTTCGAAATTAATTTACTTTTATTTGCAAGAATTTGGGATCCATAATTTTAACTTCAGTGTTTCAGTTGCCATA